CATCGCAGATCACAAGTCCAGTAAGATCTCTCATTTTCTCATTAAACTTGTTGGGCTTCTCCTTCTCCTTCAAAATGGTTCTTAGAGATCTTAGTCCATCACAAAGCATTTGCAGTTGATCCTTAATAGAGATCATACGACAAGTACCAGACTTGAGAATCCAGCAAATATTACATAGGAGAGAATCAATGATCTCCCTCAATATCTGCTCATCTGCTTCCACATATGATCGTGCTGATAACTTTGAAGCAATCAGAGCCTGGACACAGGTCTCATGGACATGGGATTCCACAGGAATGATCTTCTGCAGCCCTTCCATCGTAGCATCCCTGATTGATAAGTACAGTTCATCATCTGCGCCAAAGCACGACCAGTAACTGAGGCATGCTGCATTGACAGCGATAAGTTCAGTGTGAGCCAATAAAGGTCCCAATTGCTCATCTTTAATCCCGTGCAGTGCAACGAAACTGATGAAGTTCTTCAAGAACGCCAGCTTCTCTTCAAGGCCTTCGGTTGGTCCTTCTACACCTTCAAACAGAACACCTATATCATAATGATCGTCCCTAAAACTCTCCAGAAGATAATCCATGAATTCGATAAGGTCTTCTGTTTTCATCAGTGAATTGTTACTAGACTGCTTTAACGAGCGATATGAGAAAACGAAGTACCACCCCTTTATATCTTCATCGGAAGGAAAGTCTGTCATACAATCAAAGACCAGAGTCCGCAGATCGTTGGCAGAAACTCGACCTTCCAGTTCCAAACGAAGACAAAATGAATGGATCTTCTCTCCAGTTTTGGAAATGGCAGCTTCAGTGCCTAATAGAAGAGCTGCTAGATTTTCGTCATCATTGTTGCCCCACTTTCTCGCACTCATGAGGAATGGTCTCAAAATTCTTAGTCCCCCTTTCAGGCTTGCGAAATCATGATCTGTAGAGTCTGGACATTTGTTCTCCAGCAACTGCATATCATCCAAGATGGAAGAAATGCATGTAAGACTACTGGAGGCCATCTGGTGAAAGGAAGATTGATAAGGGAACCAAAAGTCAATCCAATGTAGAGATGAATTGAAATAACTCCAATATTTTTTAAAAGAGAGGGAGAGAGAGAGAGTGAGAGAAATCAAAGTTAACTGATATTGCAAGGAAGATGAAAATGTTTATAGAATGTTAATCAAGAAATTAGTAGTGCCTATATAGTCACTACTAGAAACTAGGAAAACTCGTGAGTTTGGAAGTAAGATTGCAGGTTCATTGATAGCTTCCCACCATGTTGGTTATGGATGCTTGGCGGACATAGTCATTTACTTTTGCCATAGAAGAAATGGAGAGCTACTGAATTATTGGGCTCTGCACTGACATTATTTAATCTAAAGTCAATGAACTTGCCTTCGGGTTTAGTAATCAACCTGTACATTTACATGTAGCCTCACTGGTGTAGTTTTCCTTTTCTTTTATTTATTTATTTATTTTTGGTCCTATCCCCGACAACTTTTTTTTTTTTGCTTTTTTAACTCCGACCCTCCTCCGTATCATTTCTTCTGTTCGAATTTATGCAAAAATATCTTCCAAAACCATTCCACTCTGGCGTCGGAATGATACGAAAAAAATTAAGAGTGTTCTCTTGTTTTATCTGAAATGATTGAGTCTGCATCATGTCATTGTTAAGAGCCATACAGTTGATTGAACATGATTACAACCAACTTTCTTGACTATGCCTGAATCAGGTTCTTAAGTTCTGCAACTCCCGAGTTTTTGAGATTTTTTTACCCCTTTGTGAGGGTACCATCCTTGAGAATTATCTAAAAGACGAGAACACAGAGAAAGAAACGGAAGCATATTTCTTGATCGCCCTTAATTGCGCGTAGCAGTTGCTACTCATTGGATTTATTTCAATTAATTACACTCCTAGCTTTAAGGCTGAGCCCAAAGTAATCTACAGGCTAAAACAGTACAATGGCCTTGAGCTACTATAGTAGCAATCAAGAATGGCGGCTTTCTAGGATGCAGCAGCAAAATTTGACACCTAATATGGATTATTTAGTCAAAAATTTCAGTTCTAATGCAGGCTGGTGACCAAATGACATGTATTACGATGCAATATAATAGAATCATAAGCCTTTTTACACAGAGATTTTCAGCTGATCATATTGTGCCATATCAGCTAATTAATGGGCTCTGCACTGACATGATTCTAACTGCGAACCTGACAACAAGGAGACTTTTTAAGAGTTATTTCCAAAATTTTAAATCCTGAACCTGATAATGGGGAAAGTTTAAGAGTCCTCCGCTGCCCCGTTTGGATAGCCATTTTTCGGCTAAAAATTGCATTATTTTTTGTGACTACATCTTCCTATTATTTTTTTTCTCACATATATCAAATCGTTATAATAATTTTTCTATAAAAAAATCAAGAAAATGCAATCCAAACAAGGCCCAGTAGTTCTATTCCCGACAACTTGCTGAATGCGACATGAGGAATTAATTTTGAATTTTGTCTTAAATAAGAAAATTGCAGCTTGAATGCGACTGGAAATTTTTAATTTCCAATTTGAAGGTTACAATCAGTGATGAGAAATTATTAATATTACAAGGTGGCAAAATTTTTATTGATGTAAGCAACCAATCTGACTTGAAGAAAGAGACTTTGCATCTGCATTCAATTGTGTGATTCAATTAGTTAACGTGTGAATTTCCATGATAACTGATCTCGATCACCAAGTCTGAAAGGGCAACCTCTATGGCCTCCTTTTCCATCCCTCTCGGGTTCAGTAATTTTTAAAAAAATATATGAAAGCCCGGTGGATCTTGATGATTATTATTTTGACCAATTTACAATATGGGCAGACCAAATGAGGCCGGGTAGACCGCTGACTTGATTTGATTCAAGGCCCACAGAGTCTTCTAGGCTGCTGCATTGAAGTCAATTCAACGAGCCGAATGAGGCAAAATCTATTAGGCCTCATTCGGACCGTGAAAAGCCCAATGTAGTTGACTTGAAATCACACCAGCCTCTTACCTAGCGGTAGCTTATGTTAAATATGGAAAGGGATAAATATAGTTTTGATTTCTAAAATTTGACACTTCTGAAACTTTAGTCCTAAAGTTTTGATTAAAAAAAAAATTGATTCCGTAAAAACATATCCAGTACTCGGGTTTTCAATTTGAAACTCTTTTTTTTTCTTTCCTTTTTTGCAAGCGAGAGGTATTGAATTCAGGATCTCCTACTTATAATTCTTCTCGCCTTACTACTCAACCTAAATTTGAAACAAAATTAGGACAATTGAAGGATTTTTGTCAATTATAAACAGAATCAAATTCATTAAATTGATTTTATAGAAGAAGATGCAAAACAACGGTCAATTTTAAAACAATAAGAATAATTCGCATCATGACACGCGAGTAACTAATTAATTAGGAAAGTAGGAAAAAAAAAAGGTTTGTTAAACTAAATGCAAAAATTGAGTGTTAAGGTCTTTGGCTTGGGGGTCATTGGGTTTAAATTAGAAAATGAGTTCTGGATCGATGAACCGAGTGATCCAACTGGTTTCAATTTTTTAGCTTAACTAATTTTTTCTTATTGATTAATTAGTTACTCACGTGTTAACACGTGAGTTACTAGTCCTTAAGTTTGTTGTTCGGATTTAGCAGCTATTTTACTTTTTTATTATTAAATTCAATAATTGCAAACATGTTTTCACTTGTTTAGAATCTACTTTAAAATCAAGACATTGGGGGACCAAATTTTTTCTTGCCGAAACTTTAGGGATCAAAGCTGTGTAGGTGCTAAATGTGGGACTAAATTTGTTTTCATTAAAAACTTTAAAGATTAAAATTGCATAGTACTAAATATTGGAGACTAAAATTGTATTTTTTTCCATATGAATATTTCCAAGTTGCACAAGCGAGAAATTATGAGTAACATATTGGCATTGGTTTAGGTGACAATGACGCTAGTATTTTTCACTACTCCCTAAGGATAATAAAATTACATAATGATGAGTGCTCAGAAGCGAGTGGTGATTAGCTTTTTCTGCATTGCCAAATTTTACAGTAAGAAAATTGTGGTGTGACCATTAAAAATTTTAAACATTAGGCTGTGTTTGGCAAATGATCTTGTGCCATGTTTTGAAAAACAAAACTTTTTTTTCCTACTGCATCAACTGCAGAAACATGTCAAAAAATACACTAAAACACCCAATAAAAATACAAAAAAAAAGGACAAAAGTTATTATGATTTTTAGATGTTGTGCTATAATAAACTTTGATTTAACATTTTTGCAAGTATGAAATATTACAATTAATTATAATTTGATAACTTTTTTTTTTATCTTATATTTACATATATGGGAAAAGGGTATGATACAAGTCTTTGTTGTTCTATACAGTATACATTACTACTAAAATACATATTTTTCTTAATAAAAGTCTTCAAATTTTATCATAGATTGAAATATTAATGTTGAAGAATACTCCAAGCAAAGTTCGTTCATTATATCTTTTGTTTTTTTGGTCGACAAGTACAACCAATCTTTAGAGTATTTGAAAATTGTACAAGTTACGAGAGCTTTTTCAAGTTATACTAGCGAAATTATACTAAACGAGTATAATATTAGTTCTTACTATGGCTAATGGATCAATTGCTTATTGGAACAAAATTTCTAATTGGATGAAAAAATCGTATTTATAGTGCATCTGAGCAGTATTAACTCAAATAAATTGTGAAACATTTTTGGAATCATAACTAAAGTTTGAGAGGAAAAAAATCCAGCAGCTTCATTGATTTAAATCTTTAGTAACAACATAAAAACTGGGAAGTGATCCCACCAACACTGACTTGAGACAGAATACAGAATATTGAAATGGCATGAATAATTTTGATGCTAGATTGATGCAACAAAACAGCCAGTAGTACAAAAGCAATGGATTTAGAAAAAAAAACGAACAGCATGTAAATGAGTAAATTGGCTGCCCAAACTAGACTAGACATGCTTGAGAAGATCAGTAATTCATTTTAGAGGATGAAATGTGGATCTTCAGATCAGTATTTCCCATGTCCATTTGCTCCTCCTGAAGTGGCTGTATAAAACTTGCAGAGAAGGGACAATCAGAGGCCTCAATTGTTTCAAGAGTTGAGCTCCCCAAACCAGAAGGAATCTCCTCCAAAAAGTGACAATCTTCCAATACTAATTTCCTTAGACTAGGAAAACAGTCCATGTACTCGGAGGCTGTCCAATTGACAATATCCAGGGAAGCAATTTTCAAGAAACTAACTTTAGGGAACCCCTCTTCTTCTTCTTCCATGTTCCATATTTTTCCCTGAAAGGCCCCATCGAGTAATTTGAGAACTGCAAGATTGGGTAGATTTTGAATTTCTGATATTTTGCTCCAAGGGAAGAGAAAGCCGGATAGAGTCAATTTTCTAATTGTCAAAGGAAATTGAAACTCAAACTGGCATTGAACACCTGTATGGTTAATGAACTTGAGAGTGAGTGATTCTAGTCCACTTAAGAAGTCAAGCGCTAGAACCTTGTCAGCTGAATCCCTAGAACCATTAGCCTCGTAGAAACTGCATTTGAGCTTGTGGATATTGGGAAATTTTCTAAACATCTTGTCAATGGTATCCCAAGAAGGAAGCATTACTCTGTACAACGTATTCAAATCACACAAATGTTCAGCATTCTCAAGATTGTAGGTGGGCAACTGAAGCTCACAATATTCATCTAGGCAGTCGCCTTTTAATACCAAGTGCCTCAGTTTCTTAAGATTCCATATACTATCTGGTAGTGAGACAGCGCTATCAAACGTTTCCAGAATTAAAGTTTCCAGATTCAAGAGATTGGACATTGATGATGCAATTGACTCCAGATCTCCAACAACTGCCAGGTACCTCAAGTGAACAAGTAATTCCAGTTCTCTAGGAAAAGTAGAACCCAGATTTAATTGGCTCAAATCTAACACTTTTACAAGTTTGATGGCAACAAGGAATGGTATGTCAGTAACAGTAGGTTGGTAGCTTTCATGATTATTGAAGAATAGTAGAGAACGGATGGTGGGAGCAAATAACCTGGACTTGCAAAAGTGTCCTGGATTAGAGTTGATGCATAAGCGGCGTAGATTGTGTGGCACACTGATAGTATATAGTTCATCATACCCGCTCACCAGCTGCACAAATTTTTCCTGTCTGCCTTTTCTTACACAAAACTCATAAAGCAAATCGTGAACACGGCAGGTTTTGACTCCACCAATGGATCTTTGTTTGGAAACCATGACTAAACTTCTGTTAATAAGAGCCATCATGTGATCATTTGCCACATCCTCTGCGCTCTTGAACTGAGTTTTTTGTGCAAATCCTTCAGCCACCCATAACCAATTCAACCTCTCTGTAGTGTGTTCATGATCTTCAGGAAACGCTCCAAAGTATAGAAAGCATGGCTTCAAATAATCTGGTAAATTGTTGTAACTCAACTCTAATGCAGCAGTGCATTGTTCTGTACTAGAGAGCATGCTTGAGTTTAAACCTTCCACTACCCTTTTCCAACTATATTGGTCCTCATTTGCTAGAATTCCAGCAAGAATGACGATGGTAAGTGGTAGTCCTTGACACATTTCCACGATTTGCATTCGGAGTTCACATAATTCTGGAGGAGGCAAGTCTTTTCCAGGAAATAACCTTTTACTTAGCAAATCCCAACTCTCATCAGGAGTGAGTGGACGAAGGAAATGAGGTCCTTCATCAAGTTCACCTCTCGGAGCAGCAAGATCACGATTTCGACTTGTCATGATCACTCTACTTCCATTTCGGTTATCAGGAAATGATGCTTCCAATGCGTTCCATGCTTCAGTGTCCCATATATCATCCAAAACAATGAGATATTTTGTCCTTAGCAAACCTCTTCTGACTTCTGCCGCCAAATCTTCTTCAGACATCTCAACAAATTTGTCATGAAGCTTGGTATGAATAGAAGTCAAAATTTGAAGCAACAGATTTTTCTTGTAATACGTTTGAGAGACAGTACACCAAGCACGTGCATAAAAATGCGACATAACTGAAGAATCATTGTAAACTTTTTTGGCTAATGTAGTCTTACCAAGTCCTGGCATACCTACAATAGGAATTATTTGCAGTTGGGATGATCCTCTTGTGAGTCGATTGATTATTAAGGTTGCCTCATCCTCCAATCCCACCACCACATCACTGATTATTGGCTTGCTTGACTGTGGTCGCATGTGATTTAGTGACTTCGTAACCTCTTTAACTTTGAGATCAAGTCTATTGCTCTCAAAAATCTTCATGGCCACAGCTTTGATGATCTTAAGTTCTTCTACTATAGAATCAAATGATATGGAAGAAGAATCAAGAACATCTCCAACTAGTAAGGAGTCGATAAGAAACTCTGCCTTGTATGCCACCTCTACAACACGGTCCCAAAATGCTTGGAGCTCCTCATCTTCATTGCGCAATTCCACAATTTTCTCCAAGAAAGGGTGTAAGAAAATAAGTTCTTCCTGTATTGTTTGAATTGGATAGTTTACAAGAGCAACAGAACCAGCCTCAGAACTAGTCAGTTCCATCATATAGTTTTGAAGAAAAGCAATAAAGCCCAACTCATTGGTCCTAGGAAAGTTGGATGATGATGTTTCTGGACATGTCTCTGCAACTGCTGCCTTGATAACCTTGAGCCTTTCCAGAAAATCTTGGTAAGACACAAGATCCATGTCCTTTAGCACTCCGTCTTTCTCGGCACTGAGAGAAAGAGAAAAAGCAACAAGTCCTGCATCACATAGCACAAGTCTAATTAGATATCTCATTTTCTCATCAAACTTGTCAGGGTTCTCCTTGAGAATGGTTCTGAAGGATATTAGTCCCTCAAAAAGCAGTCGAAGTTGATCCTTCAGAGAGATCATAAGACAAGCTCTGGTCTTTATTATCTCCCACAGATAAAATATAAGAGAATTGATGAAGCCTCTCAATACATGCTCATCTGTTTCCGCGTATGGTTGTCGTGATAACTTTGAAGCTATCAGGGCCTGGACACAAGTCTTATGGACTTGCGGTTCTGCATAAATAATCTTCTGCAGCAGGTCCGAGGTATCATCCTTGATAGACATGGACTCCTTACAGAACCACGCAAAAGAGAGGGATGCTGCATTGACAGCGACAAATTCAACCTGACTCAATAAAGGTCCCAACTGCATATCTTCAACTCCATGAAGTGTGACAAAACAGATGAAGTTTTTCAAGAATGTTAGCATCTCTTCAAGGGCTTCAGCCTGTTCTCTAAAACTGTTGTACAGATGCATTGAGTAAACAATATCATTTAGATTCTCCCGAAGAGAGTCCATGATTTCCATAAGGTCATCTTTCTTTACCTGGGAATTACTAGACTGCCTTGATGACCAATCGGAAGAAACCAAGTACCATTCCTTGATTTCTGGGTGGAAAGATCTTAAACCACTGGGCACAACTCCTAAATCGCGGATACGATATGTATAGCCCACAGTAAAATTGTAGGTGTTGAAAATCAGCCGTCCCTGCTTGGAAATGGCATCTTTCATCGTAACTACCAGTGCTCCAAGAACCGCATCACCATCGTCGCCCCATTTTCTCACACACAGAAGAAATGTTCTGAATATTCTTAGATGCGCTTCCAGGTCTGTCAACCTAAAGAGCTCCACCATCCATTCCGGAGATTTTGGGCAGCTGTTCTTCAGGAACTGCAGATCTTTGAAGACGGCTGAAATGGAAGTAAGGCAACTGGAGGCCATCTGACGATAAGGAGGATAAGTTCAATTTAGAAATGGAAGAAGTCGATGAATAATGATGAAAACAGTCTTTACAGTTTGCGACTCTTCACTTCCAGCAATTGGGAAAAGCTCGAAGCTTAGAAAGTCAACTACAGGCAGGGGCCGAGTTATCCTTTGCCTTGTGGGAGCACACTGGGCACAGGATAATTCAGCACAAAATTTTTTAAGAATTGTGTTATTGCCCTAATAAATTGTAATTGTGAAATGTTCCTTTTAGGTATTAAATATTGAATTTTTTTCACTTTTCTTTTTATGCCGAATAATTTGTTGAAAGTCAATATTATGTGCTCAGTCGTATTTTGATACCTGTTTTTAACAAAGAACAAGTAATATATGTAATGTATCATCATCATTGTAATTGATCTAATGTGTCAAACGGCATTATTGAGTTGAGTAGTTTTTTTTTTTGCATTTTTGTATTTTAGTTATTAAATATTTATATCCCTATTTACTATTACATGTGTTTCTATTTTCATAACTAGAGATGCTGGCTCAAAGCTAACAACATTTTGTGTTTACCTGTAAATGATTTCTTAACTTGTTATTTTCATCAATGTAAATTTGATGCAGTACTTCAGATGACCACATTGGGCGTTATTAATTTTGCTACCAACTTTTTTTTTTTTTCTTTTCTTTTCTTGAACTTTTGTCAACCAACTTGCTCTTAGGATTAAATTGTTCCCACTTGGATCAGAAAATTGACAACACTGCAGCCTGATCGGGGCAGCTGAGGTGATTTACACGGGAACAAGGAATCCAATATACAAGAGTGGGGAGATTATTCAAGGAAAAACAGGCTATACTTCTATTTAGAAGGGATTTGGGGCAGTATGACCGTCCCTGCACGGTTAAGGGCCAAGATTTGCCCTCAAAATTTTGTGCGGCTGAGATAACATCATATAACTCGATTTTCGCGCTAAGTATGGGGCCCATCACTATCTGTTGTGAAAATACATCCTGTGAAAAAAAAGTTACACGATGTACAAAGAAAGTTACGCGCAGTTGATAATGACTAAAATTGGCACGATGTACCTGCAACCGTCCGTGCCCTGAGTCCATTTAGAAGGGGGAGCACTGTCAAGTGCCAAAATCGGGACATAAAACCATCATGTCTACAATCAAAATTAAAATAGCTAAAATTTTGTACATGTGAACTTATAAATCTTCCCATTGGTTATATTCGTAAGCAATATGTCTGTTTAGATTGTAAGTTATTTGGGATTATTTGGGATATTTTTACTGTAGCACTTTTTGTGATGTGATATATGTGAGATAAAAAGATATTGGAAAGATAAAAAGGTGTATTGGAAATTGTAAAGATGATGTAAGCAAATAAAATTGAGAAAATATGAAGCAATCCAAACAAACCTATTCCAAAATCAACCTATCATATAAAATACATCCCTTCATTGATATGGTCCAATTTTGTATACAAAAGTTACCAAACCAAAACAACCAAAGCAAGGTTGATCTAACAAGCCATTGATCTTGCCTCCAAATTTGGAGTGAGCATATCGCTTGTCCAATAAGTGGTTCAGGCACTCGTCGTCTACTGACATGAGTAAGTTAATATTATAATAAATTTTAAACACAGTTATCATAAAAAACACATAATCATACTAATTCAGTAATTAACAATTAATCACAATAATCTCATGAAGTTTTGGTCTTTATCAATAACCAGATATTTAGTCATGAGTATTTGTCCTGTCAAGTAAGGTCAGACAGAAGTTCCTAACTATTTGTCTTGCTAAGTAGGTCAGATGAATACAAAAATTTCTAAATATTTGTCCCATTATGTAAGCTAGACAAATAGAAAGTGATTGAACTAGCTCCAAAGACAGTAATCGAAAAATCACGAGTTGAAACGAAACAAAATAAAGGTGCTCCCTTCTCTCCTAAACAAAAACGAAAAAAAAAAAACTAAAGCTTGATTCCAATCAATTGGGAGAATTAGTGAAAAACTAGCTTTGGGAGAATTAGTCAAAATTTTGATTTTTCTATTTAACGACCAAAAAACAAAAAGAAATTTGTTTGTCTTAAAATATGGGCCTCAAACTTGTACAAGTACGAAAAAATAATGCACAATGGGCCCATCTAACTACAACCACTAACGTCTTCTGGCGCCAGAACCGTACGGTCCATATGATGTCCAAACCCGGTTCCAGTTCCCAAGGAGAAAGCAGAAACCGGAAAAGAGGTAATCCTTCCTTCCTTATCCATCCACATTCCTGCACGTTTAGCTGCAGCTCTCCCACCAATAATCATGGCTGCTTCCACAAGCCATCTGTGCTCTATTCTTTCTTTGAATTCATCTCTTCCCAGTGTTCTTTCAAGTCAAAGGTCTGCTGCTGCTTTCGTCTTTTTCAGCTGCAAGACTGATCAGAGGAGGAGGCGGAGAAGTACTGGGATAGTTGCAAGTGGGGCGGATTTGCTGGGGGATTTCGGGGCGAGGGACCCTTTTCCGGCTGAAGTCGAGAGCAATTTTGCGGAGAAAGTACTGGGGAATGTGAATACAGAGCATAAAATCTTGATCCCAACTGCAACTGCTCTGTCTTTAGCCCAGCAAGATTGTACTCCCATCTCACCTAATGAGCAGCCCATTTCTGAAGATGCAGCCAAGAAACTCTTGCTCAAGGTCAAAAATTATTAGTTACATGAATTATTTTCAGGGTTTTTAGTACAATTGGTTTTAAAAAATGGTTGTTAGTTGTTAGTTGTTAGTTGTTAGTTAGTGCTTAAAGGCGTGGTATTATGAGAGTGTGAAAGTGCACACCTTCTGGTGCATTTCACTGATGGACTTGTAATAGAGTGTACACACTGTCAAAATGCATCTGTTCATTCTGTGTCTTTTCGAAGGCATGATTAGGTGTAGTGGTTATCTTCTAACCAATGCCTTGATCGGCTCATGACAGAAGAAGGCATTACGCTCCTGCATGAAAAGCGTTATTCTTTTACTTGTGTGAAGTTGTGGCGTATGTATCATTTCTAATGAAGTGCATTGGACAAGGGTAGTTGTTTCACTATAAAATTTTCACCCCCAGGGAACAAGAAATGTTAATGTGGTTCAACACTTATGGACACGTACATTTATTTACCTTGTAGGTTGTTGGATGGAGATTGATAAATGGAGAAGAGGGGCTAAGGCTGCAATGCGTATGGAAGTTGAGAGATTTCCAATGTGGGATTGAACTGATCAACAGGATATACAAGGCTATTGGTGCTACAGGGCACTTCCCTAGTCTTCACCTTGAGGAGTCCAATCAACTTAGAGCTGAACTATGGACTTCTTCAATTGGTGAGCACATATGTCTCTAATAGACAATAATTCAGATTTGTGGTTACTTATTTCCGAACCAGCTTTTAGTAATCTAAATATTGAATTCTGAATAGTACTGTTTTGTTTAATTTATGAATAGCACTTATTTAAGACTCACTGCAAATATTTGTTAACGACAATATCAATCAGAAGGGATCCTGCTAGACCAATAATGAAGAGTTGCAGAAGCAAATTATAAAAGATAAACATGCTTAGTGCTTCCAACAATGTTTTGATGGGGAAAAGGAGACTCTTTCCTTCACTAATTTAATAGTAAAACTAACAGTGTAATTTGGAAAAAGCTCATTCATGCTATTGTAAGTGACTAGATAAGGTATACTCCTTTTATTCGAGTCATTGGTTTCACAAGGGCATGGACTTCCGACGGATGATCTTTTTCCCTGTTTTTACCCACTATTTATGGTGTATCAGAAGACTGACTGTCTACCTAAGTTGTCCCAATTGAGAAGCTGAACATGCCTTTCATGATTCACTAGGAGTCTGAGAGGCTTTATCCATTCTTTTGTTCTTTACCCATCCTGTTTGAAATTTCTGAAAACAGAACAGTGAAAGTTTCCTTGGGAAGCCAAGTTTCATTACTCCTCCCACTTTGAAATGTCCAGTACTTTGTTTATATGCTCTGTTAAGATATTTTTCACATGGTCTTCCATGCCTCTGCATTAGTATTATTGCTTTGCACTTTTGTATATGTACTGTAACTTTGCAAAGATAAAGGGGTGGAGTTAATTTCGAAGGTTTACAAAATCTTTAAAGGTAACTGTATCATGAAAGATGAGTTTGAATGGTTTCTTACCTCAACTGTAGTAATATCGACATAATCTACTGTAATTCTGTTCTATCTTCTGATCCCCTTTCAAATTTTTTGTTAAGCCACCAAATTCTTTTTTGTTTCTTAATAACAAGGTTTATTTTCTGCTGTTATGATTTTTACTAATTACACTTAATACTATAATTCGATGACTTAAACTGCAGGAGGTCTGAGCATGAATGATTTCATTGTAGCTGCTAAAATAGATCAGGTTAAATCGTCAGATCTCATTCCCAGAAAGAGAGTTTGGGCATAAATGGAAAAACTGGTTCATCTAAGGTGCAAACCAAATTTTTTTGCTTTACCGGGTCCTGATGGGAACTAGAACTGAAGATTCATAGCTTTTTGCTCAAATGGCTGGATGCTGTACTTCTGATGTTGACAGTATTCTTTTTGAACATTAGACATAGCTATGATTTGTTTGTTCGGCGTATTCTCGGTTCCTTTAGAAATATTGTTTATGGTTTGAATGTTTTTCACTCAGTTATGATGGAGACCGCTTCTGCTTAAAATATCATTCATTTCTTTCAATGTCATTTTGTTGCTATTGTTACTATAGGAGATTAATGGGGCTAATATTTGGTTTAGTGAGACAAGAGAGATCCTTATTTGTGCCAGTTTGTTGAGATTATTTGACATACAGTAAAAATGTAAGTTTTACTTTGAACTAGATTTGTACTCAGATGTAACTTTGTCATATTTTAGTACATCTCCTATTCACATGCATCATAAAGCTAGGCATGTTTGTGAAACAAAACATTACACTACCAATGTACATAAGATGAATTTTTATTGTTTTAAATAATTGCTATAAAAATGAATTCCTTCTTTAATTAAATTATGTGCAGATATTTTGAAGAAACTCTGAATATTCTATTCTTGATGATTCATTTACATGTAGAACATTTCTGACATACATTTTCTGCTTCCTTTTGATGATGAGCAAGTGACTAATAATTCCTCACAAGCTTTTCTTTACATTTGGATTTAACAGATTTGTGATATACCAATAGCACAGTAAGTTAAATTAGAGCAAAGTATCATGAGGCTAAAACTGTCTCTTGTTCCTATTGACTGTTGTGTCTTGAAGGAAGGCAATTTTCTTGTACACTTTTCTTGGATCTTGTACTCTCCTTGCACACTACTGTATGAGTGAGACCCTGCAGCCAGGAGTTTGTAATTTTCTGATGTCTACTTGCTTATCTCTGCAATGCAAAGTAGCCAGGCAATTACAGGATTTCTTCTGTTTATATCCAGCATCTAATGTGCTAGAGCATTCTATCAATCTCACAAACAAGTATGATTGATAGCATTCTGATTGAAATCCTGCATGCCAGATGAGCAATGCACTACAAACTGCAAAGCTGGTGAGTCCTATTCATTATAAATGATTTGGTCTACTAACTTGCTGGGCTTAGTCTGAAACTTTCCTTGTCTATATCCAATTTTTATGACACAAATAACTTGCCTAGTAGCTTATTCAATTGCAATGTCACAAAAGATGCTTTCAGAAGTATTGATCCAAAATTTGTTGATCAAACAGGAGGCTACATGCAAATAGAAAAGGGTGTCGAAGTTATATTTGACCACAAGCTCTTTCTAATTAAACATTTCACTTTCATTGCAAAGATTCTGAGTACTTTCTTAAGCAAGATAACTGGGTTGGAACGGATTAATCTCTCTCCTTTCTGTCTCTGCATGGATGTTATCTAAGCTGCAGTTACTAAGTCCGACTTTCATATATATACTTGTAAAGGTTCTATGTTCAATACCTTCTTTCTCCAGTGGGCACTCTTATTAGTTTTAATTTTGCACTTAATCAGATGTTGATAGATGAAATAGGAAGCTACATGCTAATTCAAGGTCCATCTTGCTGCACCTTTTCCTAGCAAAACTTCAATGGGTAATAGCAAACTTGGTTTAATGTCCGTTGAATACCAAACACCTGCTTTTCATTCTGCTGTCCATTTTCTTCTTGATTGTGTGCTTAGTCAGAGATTTTACTAGCTCGGATGTTAAGTTCAAATAAATTGGAATACTGGCATGTCAAGTCGAAGCTTATATGGAAAATACTTTAGTTCCATGATCCAGCCCTGTGGGAGTGTGCTAAAGATAGTACTAACATAGCCCTGTGGGAGGGCTACCAAAAATTTGGTCCCAAGCCCCGAAGATTAAGAAGAATGTGATGCTACCAGACTCAAAAGGGTCCCATTAGCGATAGGTATCTAGGCGTGAATGTGAGTATGTACCTCCCATTCCCAAGTACTTCTTGCCAATACATTTTCGTAGAGATGGATCTCAATTGGATGCTGGGCCGTCTGCAAAAGGTAAAACCACATGCAGGCCCCTTAATTGGGGACCGCTGCGAAAGACTTTGCTCCCGATCGGTAACGCTGATTACCCGCTCAAGAATGAAGAACTAATAGAGGTGATAATTCTCTGCAAAAATGGAAGAATGAAAAAAAAGAGGTGGTAATGGGATAGTGTGCCAAATTGCATGGCCCCGGAAATAATGGTAGCCACTTGCCACCCATTTTTGGACATTTGGATTACAACTTTTTGGTATATATGTATATTAGTGTAACGATTTAATGCATGTCTGACGACGAAAGTAATTCAGAAATATACAAAGAAAGTACATCCCTTGAGGATGAAATAACCTTGAAATCAGTGTTTCCCATGCTGATTTGTTCTTCTTGAATTTCATTTACTGAACTTGCACAGCTGGGACAATCAGACAGCTCAATTATGTCAAGAGTTGAAACATTTCCCAAAGAAGATGGTATCTCCACCAAATTATAACAGTTTTCCAATACCAGTTTCTGCAGACGAGGAAAACTGTTCTCGCACTCCAGGGCAGTCCATTTGACAATGTCCAACGAAGCTAATTTCAAGAATTGAAGTTTGGGGAATTCCTCTTCTTTCATGTTCCATTCTTCCCCGACAAAGGTTTGCTCGAGCAATTTGAGAACCTGAAGATTGGGTAGATCTGCAATTGCAGATATATCACTCCAAGGCAAGCAAAAGCAAGAGAGAGTCAATTTTTTAATAGTCAAAGAGAAATGGAACTCAAAGGGATAGCGCTCGTCAATTTCTGTTCTGAGTCTTAGATTGAGCGATTCTAGTTGACCTAGAAAGTCAAGTACTAGAATCCTGTAGCTACCCTCCTTAGCAGGATCACAATCTACAACGAGCCTGCATTTCAGTTTGCGGATGTTTGGAATTTTTCTGAGTATCTTGTCCATGTTTTCCCAAGAAGAAAGGCTTACCCAGGAGAAAGTGTCCAAATTGCACAACTGTGAAGAGTTGTCAAGATTTTCCATGGGCAAATCGAAACCTCCCGTTAGGCTTTCGTCCTTCAAATGTAAATGCCTTAGCCTTTTCATATTCCATATAGTATCCGGCAAAGAAATCAGCCAACCATATATTTCCAGAATAAGAGTTTCCAAATTCGAGAGATTGGTTATGGATGATGGGATGGACTTCATATTACCAAGAACTGCCAAGTATCTCAACTGAACAAGCGACCCTATTTCTCTAGGAAGAGTAGCTCCTAGATTTATTTGGCTTAAATCTAACACTCTGAGAAGTTTGAAGACCTGAAAGATGAATGAAAGATCAAACCAAGTGTATGGTTCCCTTGGTCCAAATTTGAAGAACAATAAACATCGAACAGTCGGGATAGATAGCCTTGACTCTTGGAAGTGCTCCGGCTTAGAATTGATGCATAAGCGGCGTAGGTGGTGTGGCACATTGAAAGCATAAAGTTCATCATACCCACGTACCAACTGCAGAAACTTTTCTTCTTTGGCTTTTTTCACACATAACTCATGTAACAAATCATGAATCCGACAAGCTCTCACTCCCCCAGTGGATCTTTGTTTAGATACCATGACTAAGCTCCTGCCTATGAGATTCATCATAAAATCATTTGCCACATCCTCTGCGCTCTTTGAATGAGTTGTTTCCACAAATCCTTCGGCCACCCATAACCAAATCAACCTCTCGATAGTGTGTTCATGGTCTTCTGGAAATCCTCCAAAATAAAGGAAACATGGCTTCAAATTGTCTGGTAAATGTCTGTAACTCAACTCCAATGCAGCAGTGCATTGTTCTGTACTAGAAATATTGCTTGAACTTAAACTTTGCACAACCTCCTTCCAGCCAGATTGCTCCATGTTTGCTAGAATTCCAGCAAGAATGACAATAGTCAGAGGTAATCCTTGACACATTTCCACAATCTGGGTCCGGAGTTCACATAATTCTGGAGGAAGCGAATCTTTTCCAGGACAAAACTTTTCTTGTAGCAGATCCCAGCTCTCATCATGAGTGAGTTGACGAAGAGAATGAGGCTCTTGGTCGAGTTTATCTTGAGGAGCAATATCACGGAGTCGACTTGTCAAGATAACTCTACTTCCATTTCCATCATCAGGGAATGACGCTTCCAATCCTTTCCATACTTCACTGTCCCATACATCATCCAAAACAATAAGATATTTGTTCCTTAGCAAACGTCTTTTGACTTGATGAGCCAAATCTTCTTCACTCATCTCAAAAAATTTTTCGGAAAGCTTGGAATTAATACAAGTCAAAATTTCAAGCAACAGATTTTTCTTGTGATAAACTTGAGAAACGGTACACCAAGCGCGCGTATGAAAATGGTGCATGACTGAAGCATCATAGTAAATTTTTTTAGCTAAAGTTGTCTTACCAAGTCCCGGCATACCTACAATGGGAACTATTTGCACCTGGCGTGATCCTCTTGTGAGGCGATTGATTATCGATGTTGCCTCATCCTTGAATCCCACCACGACGTCGTTGATCATTGGCTTACTTCCCTGTGATGGCATGTGATCGATTCTCTTGGTAACTCCCTCAACTTTGAGATCAAGCATTTTGCTATGAAAATTCAAGGCTTGAGCTTTGATGATCTTAATTTCTTCCACAACGGAATCAAAGGACATTGAGGAAGAGTCCAGAATATATCCAACCAGTAAGGAGTCGATAAGAAATTCCACCCTATATGCTACCTGTACAACACGATCCCAAAGTGATTGAAGCTCCTCATTTTCATTGCGCAACTCCACAATTTTTTGCAGAAAAGAGCGCAAGAAAACAAGTTCTTCCTGGATTGTTTGAATTGGATAGCTTACGAAAGCAACTGAACTTGCCTCCGGACTTGTCAAATCCATCATGTATTTCAGAAGAAAATCGATAAATCCCAATTCATTGGTCCTAGGAAATTTGAAGGATGATCTTTTTGGGAATTCCTCTGCAACTGTTGCCTGGATAACCTTAAAGTTTTCTAGCAAATCAGAAGATACAAGATGCATTTCCTTCACCAATTCGTCATTCCTTGCGTTGAGAGAAAGAGAGAAAATAGCCAGTCCTGCATCATGGACCACAAGTCCAGTAAGATCTCTCATTTTTTCATCAAATTTCTTTGGCTTCTCCTTGAGAATGTTTCTCAAGGATCTTAGTCCCTCATAAAGCTTTTGCAGTTGATCTCTTAGATGAATCATAAGACAAGTACCAGACTTTAATATGTCCCATAGATTAGATAAGAGCATATCCACGAAGTCCTTCAACATCTGCTCATCTATTTCCCTGTGTGAGTGGCTTGATAAATTAGAAGCAATCAGGGCCTTGCAAGTCTCTACGGGGACAATATTCTGCATCAGTTTGCAAGAGTCTCCATTCTTGATTTGCATCAGCTTTTCTTTACACTGGATAGACCCGCACATAAAAATATGTCTTGCTACATTAACAGCCACAGCTTCAGTATGAGTCAATAACAGTTCCAATTGCCCATCTTCAACTTCATGCGGAGTGATAAAATGCAGAAAGTTTTTCAAGAATGTAAGCTTCCCTCTAAAGGCTCCGATGTGTTCTACTACTTCCAGATCTGAAGCATTTTGCCAGTAACTGAAATCCACCAGATTCTCCAGAAGAGAGTCCATGAGTTCCATAAGGTCATCTTTATTGACAAGGGAATCAGTAGACTGCCCTGACTAGCAATCTGAGAAAACAACGTACCAATGGTTTATTTCTTGATTGAAAGATCTGATTTCTTTTCCTAAATGATAGGCAGTACGCACAACGTCATTTGGAAATCCGTCACCTTCCAAAGTAGCGAGACGAAAGGAGTGAATCTCCTGTGCCCTTCTGGATATGACATCTTCAATCCTAACTAGCAGAGCTGCTAGATTTGCATCAACATGATTACTACACTTTCTTGCGCACAGAAGAAATGTTCTCAGAAATGCTAGGCCCCCTATTGGGGCGTGCAAAAAATGACGCTCCCAAACTTCACAAATGTTCCTCAGGAACCGCAGATCATCTATGGCGGAGCGGATACAAGGAATACTACTGGAGGCCATCTAAGGAAGATCGATCAGGGAATAAATGGGAATTCAATTAAGAGATGAAACAGCTCTGATAATTTTCACACAGAAGATTAAGTGCTCTCCTCTTCTCTTGTACATAAATTGCTAGTATATACTTCTTAATGAGTACTGTATCTATGATTAATCCACCAGGACAGGGGAAAAAAGGGAAAAAGCGAAGATGAATTGTTATTTTCTGGAAGATGAAAAAGATTACCCAATTGGCTCGATTGCCCATGCGTTTCTCATTTGGTCCCAGCAGTATTATATTTATACCTTGAGGAAATGAACTAAATCAGCAACCCTTTTCAGCTAGAATTAAAAAGAGCGCTTTCAGATGGTGAAAGGATATGGCGTGGAACATTTTTGAAATATTTGTATTATGATTGTTTGGAAACATAGCCATATACAATTGTACAGATTTTATTTGCATTTTGACGGCGTTATTCTCAACTGCTTAAAGTTTAAGCCCTTGCTTCACTTATCGATTTTCTTTCCCAAGGAAAACGCATTATGTCACTCTTATCTTATTTCAAAGCTGTAAATGCCATCTTTTGAATTATTTGGGATTTTGTGTTGGGTGCTGAGAAAATTGATGAACATTTCTTGTTAGTCAATATGTTTGGATCGGAGATTATTTGGAAAACAAATATCCGAAATAATACTGTAATACTTTTTGTGATGTAATGTATATGAAATAAAAAAGATGATTGAAAATTGTGTTTATGATACAAGTAAAACAAAATTTAACTTTTTTTTGGCAAATCTTGACAACCAACATGTAGATTTTTAACGAATACTTAGCTTCATCAGCACTAATGTCGTCTAGAATTGAATTAATGTTTAATTCTGCTGATATACACACGAAGAGTTGGTTTCATTAGGTAATATCTTGTTTGAATTCCAATTATTTGGGTACTATTTGAAATTTTCTTTTCAAAATCTAATGTAAATATATTTTTGACGATTATTTTTACCTTATACATGTCATATCATAAAAAATAATTTTGTTAAAAAAAAAAAAAGAAATTGCAATCCAAAAGAAATGATAACTGTGACAAGGTCCGCAACTTCAGGCGCCACCAATGGCCGGCCAGGCCTGAAGGACAACTAAATTATTTTAAAGATATAGGGATTCAAGATCATCCAGAGAGTGCGCCATTGACTTTGATATGATAACGTTGTGAACTTTTTATATGTTTGAGTCGAATTTTATATGTTGCCCACATGGCAAGGTGCATAAAAATTAACAAGGGACACCATTGACTGAAAAATTATGGAAAAATAAGACAAATGATCCTTTCACACACAAAAAAAAAAAAAAAAAAAAAAAAACTTTCACTTTCTCATACAATTTTTTTTAAAAAAAAAAAAACAAGTCACAACATTTTTTTAATAATTTCACACATATACTTGTACTTGTACTCTCTCTCTCTCCTCCTACATGCGCACATTCTCTCTCTCTCCCCCTCTTAGACACATACTTCATAGACTCTGCACTCTTTCTCTTACACATATTTTCTACTATAACACGCACTTTTAAGCATAATCTATTCATCAAACATGCAAAATATATATATTTTTCTTTTATTGCACACACACACATTTTCGTATAAATCACAAAAGCATCCTTATTCTCTTTATTAGTATCAAAAAGTAATATTGAAAAAACTAATACAAAATAACAATGAAACGTAATATTATTATTATTCAATTATAAAATACACATGAAATAAAATACTTAATTAAGCACTCAATTTTTAGCTAGTATTGAATCAGCAAATTGAGACTTCAGCAATTAAGTTACAATCTTTGGAATTCAAACTTTAGTTTTCAGTTTTTTCAAACACCCTAGGCTCTAAGACTGGTGCTCATTGATTGAAGATCACGGAGAAATTTCCCAGTGTCTATCATAGGACGGCAGAGGTTCAAACCTTGCCTCCCACCAAAATGCCACATTTAAGTGACTTGTTTCCAAAAAAAATTCAAGCAGGTGTGCTGTGCATCCTTCCGGTCCGGTGGTGGTTCAGTCCCCCCCGATTTATCCCAGGATCTCCTTAAATTCGCTCTCTTCCCCTTAATGTAGGATAAATTAGGTTTATCGTTTAAAAAAAAAAAAAATCAAAGGATGGCTATTTTGTTAACTCACTAGCCCATGCGGCCCTAGTAACTCTCGAAGACTAAAGTTAAGAGACAAGTGCCACACGAGTTATCGAGTTAGTCTCGAAATTCCATAGTTGCTTGTGCTACACGGGTTATTGAGTTAACAAAATAGCCATTTCGTGACAAGTGGGATCTTGGATTTTGGATCTTATTTTGGCAATAACAAGTATACGAGAGTTCTACAAACTTTCTTTCTTTAACCTCCACCCGTTTAAGTACGTTTATTACGCTCTTATGCTTCCACATCTTTGACACACTAGGTAAGATTGAATTAGCCACATCTCTTAATTTTTAGTCTCCGAGAGTAGCGTGGCATGGGCTGCTAAGTTAATGAAATACAGGAAAGTTGCAACAACGGCCTGTGAACTTGATGGGTCTCCAAAATGAACTATTTCCTTGTAACATAATAAACATTTTCTGGACAAAAAATTAATTTAACTATGAATGCCAACTTAGTCTTCCCTTTGATTAGCTTACCACTCGTTCTCCAGAATCTGCTTGCCTCTTGCCCAGCTTGCCATCGGATGTAACATTTAATGAAAGTTCAGGATTTGGATTCCTTTGTAATCTCAATGACAACATCGCAGCTCCTTGGCCTTCTGGTCCTTTTGTTTCTGCTTCTTCCTACAATAAAGTAAGCATGCAATTTCTTTTCTTTGTAATCTCATTGTGCGATTTATTTAAACTTTTTCATTAGAAGAATAATTTCAGGTGAATCACCTGATCATATGGTTACATTACCTGAAACCACATTCCTTCCTTTACCCCATTGTAAAGCAATTGATGTTATATTTCCTGCCCTAGACCAATTTCTTTTTGTCCTCTTCTCCTCTACTGGTTGCATAAAACTGTGAGTTATTTGCGGTGTGAAGACTCTGGACTAGGCTGAAACTGAAATCTGTCAACTATAAGCTGGAAATAACTAGTTCCGATTGTTCCTTGCCTCGAATTTTGCCTCTTCATACATTGCAGGACTGCGGATTAGCAAGTTGACGCTTGCTTTACGGGCCACCTCAAACATACTCTGATTTTTCACAACAAAAGCCAATACCATATCAGATGACATATACAAGTGCATGCCTCTTGCAAGAGAAAACTCCATCGGATTTTTCTTTTTTTTTTCTCTTTTTGTTTAATACAATTTTTTCTTAAAAAGAAACAAAATCGTTCCATGCAAGTTTGATCTGTTTATAGATAGTTGCTGCCAAAGAAGTCAGACACAAAAGGCTCAAGTCAAGCAGAAATGTTGATGTAAAATCTTCTTCTATTCATTTATTCTAAATGTAGATATTTAGCTCCAGAAGGGACTCGAATGCAGTTTAGATCCTTCTTTAGCGTGCATATACAACCCCAACCCCAAAGAAAAGGATTTAGCTAAAGAATTATCAGTGCAATTAGATATATAATTGGTTGAAATGGAAATCAGGAGAAAGCGCACAAACAGAAAGTTTTAAATTGATAGAGTGAAATCACATTTTTGGAGTACAATGTGACTAAAAGTTTTGACATAATACCCCAGAACAGTTCTTTTCTATATTCAATGAATAGTCACAAAAAAACTGTATCACTGCTCCAATTACAATCAAGTGCAGAAAATACATCATCCATCTAGGAATAGAAATCTAAACATGACAGAAAAATAGCAATTGTAATACAGTTAAGGAAGAAGCATGTATTTAAAGGAAGTTTGGTGCTGCTACATAAGGATTGAATTTACACTTCTTTTTGCAACTCCACCTCTCTTGCAGCAGCAATTCTGCGGCTGCCTAGCTATCTTAACCTGAGATTGACAAACAATAGTACAGTCGGAAACAAAAAGCAAATGCAACCATGATATGAACGCAAATACAATTATGTAAAAGGTGAGGAAGTAGAACCAATGGAGGTACGAAGTGATGAAATGCAGATCAAAATATCAACTAGTGTGCAGGAACAGTCCAAAAGTGTTGGTATTGGGATTTTAGCAACTAACCACAGCTATCAGGTGGTGTCAGCCTGGGCACTAGTTGATAGGAAATCAGTAAATCAGTTGCAGACTATAGCAGAAGCTGTGAAGATGGCCATTATAAAGGCCAGACAGCAGCAATGGCAGAAAATTACAGTCCATGTTCCCAGCCCACAGCTGCTGAAAGTGATTACGTCGGGAGTGGCTAAGGATATCAAAATGTCTACTTTGGCTGATGATATTAACAACCTCAGAGCATTGTTCCAAAAATGCTCCTTTTGTCTAGAAAGGAGATTAGATAAAAGAAGTGATTTGATTAGTGATTATGCCTTGGGCATTTTTCAAGATGAGGGATGGATCAATCCTGAGTGTGTCTAACACTTTTGTATAGAACTCCTTGGGCCTTTGCTCATATAAGTGTACATCTTTTGCCAATCAATACAAAAACTACCGTTGCAGAAAAAAAAAATAACTTATTGCGGCTCTCAATTATATGAAATTTGGAATTTAAACATTTGTAAATATATATATATATATATATATATATGGGATAATTGCAAAAACCTCCCCTAAGGTTTCTGATACTAACACTCACCTTCCTTGTGGTTTAGAAAATAGCACTTACTACCCTTGAACTTAAGGTTTGTGTTGCAAATTCAATCCATGCCAAAAAAGTTATCATTAAAAATTTTTTTTAAGGAGTGAGATGAAAAATTTGTACTAAATTTGCCCTTCACGCTGCTTGCCAAATTATATTAATAGAGGAATGATAAAATATGAAAAACTATTAAGAATTAACAAAATTCAAGGGATGTAAGTGCAATTGAATGAAGTTTACTAACAATACATGAAGCAACGATGGATGCTAACGGCTAATTAAATAATTATATATCCAGGGTCTTGCAGCAAAGTTTATAAAGAATACACATAACTTTTAAAACTCTCTATTAATAATATGAATAGCTATTTCTAGGGGTAACACAACTGCTTATGTTATCAACACCAATCATATACAAAAAAAAAAAATCGCTGAACAATAAGCTAATTAACAACATACTTAAGCATCACTAAAAGTTACTGAGCATGAGATAAGCCT